TCATGTACGTATATGTATGTAAAGCAGTCTATAAGCTTAAATTCATCTACGAAGCTTAAATGTGAGCACTTAGTAGTCTCAACGAATATTTCTAATATTTATCGTAACTGTGTAGCGCGGATCGAAATCTAAAACAAAGACCGAATTATATCATCACTTGTCGCACCTCCAGGCAGGGAGGTGCCAGGCAGGGAGGTAAAGAACGAGGTAGACAGACTTGCAGCACAATCTCTTGGAAATATCATTAACAAATTCATCGTTTGCTAGTTAATCTGCATCTCCTGCATAAATTTTTAGCTCAAAGGGGCAATTTTTCCAGAGAAGCTATTAATTTCGTTTTCGCATTTTGCGTCGGTTCACTTTTCAAATTGTTGCCACCAAATATTAGAGCCCTGATTCATATTTAAAGACATTAAATAATGAAGAAGCTGCATGAATGTATGTATGTTTTCTCGCACTGTGAAAAAACAACAATAACTAGAAACATCAAATTTTGAATAACGTAGTCCTCTATTCGAACATGGTCGTCTGGAAGCCTAAATTTGGAATTTGTTATCTCCAGCACGCTAGACTGTGTATTGGAAATCTAAAGATATGCTGTTTTAAATATTTTGTGATATTGCTGTTGAATTGAATTTTAAGTGCGAAGAACATGATATTTAATTAAGTAAAGGTAACGCACAAAACGCTAAAAAAAAGTCCGTTTGGGCGTAATACAAGATCTGAAAGCTTTCAGATTTTTTTTTAAACTTTTTGTATATTTGATTATGTATATAAGTGTACACAGCTTGTCCAAAGCTTGAACCTCATCCTAAATACAGAAATGAAAAATAGACACAAATAATAAAATTATTTGCATATTTAAATTTCGCAGCATCAAATTTATAAACTCCCAACTGATGATGAACATTCTGTTTTAAGCTTGCGAATATATTTATTGTCAATAAGAAACAATAAGAAACTGGTTTGGTAAGGGAAATGATGAGTTTAATCAAGGAATCTTTGTATTAAATATACTATTATCAGAATTACCAGGAAACTTGAATATTACTTAAATTCTTCAGTCATCCTCTCAATATTTTGCAAATTAAAAGAAAAGAAATAACCTAAAACATTATAACGACCTTTCTTTTAAGCTTACTATAATCACTGACGGTATATCGAGAAAAATATCAAAAGAATGAATACAGGTGATATCTGATAGTCACAGGACAAAAATGTTTCAGCGATATTGAGTTTTAATTTAATTACAAACACATTACTACAGAAATATTTATTTTCTAAATTCAGAAATTGGAGACATTAAACTTTATAGAAATAAGCTATCAATTAAAAATACAACAGATGAATTTAATTCTTAAACATCTTAAAATTTTTTACATTAAAAAATACATTTATTTTTTTGTATAAAAATCACTTCAGTTTTGTCTTTCGCTGCGACAATTTCTATCTATAATCCATTAAATTAAAATTTGCAATAAAAAAATTTAATATTTCAAGAATGATCAGATTATAGGACATCACATATATCGCACAGATTCTTTTACAGACACTAGAAAGTTATGACAGAAATGGCGATCGCTGAAAAAGTTATATGTAGAATTTAATGAAACTGAACACAGTATACAACGCATAGTAACGTATAAAATAACATGAAAAGAAATTACCAAACAATTATGATGTTATAAATTGTATTTGTTAGCATGTATATAAAATGAACAAATCACATGTTTCAATTTGGTGTAGCAAAATTACCTTCAATATGCAGTTAGATTTCTCCTAGATGTAATACAGCACATACAGCAATGTGTGATGCAGTCAATTATGTGGTCTATTAGTTTTCCGTATTAAGCAAGAGGCATTGCTCTTGAAAAGCAGTTGCATGCGTTGCAAGGGTCTGAAGAGAAGGATTGGGAGCAGCTGTATATGCTCCTAAAGCATCCTAAACATGCTCTATAGGATTCAAGTTCAGTGATTGGGCTGATTCAGTGAAGAGCTGAATTGTTTCCTGCTGACGATAATCATTCATGATGGGAGTCCTGTGCGATCTAGCGTTGTCCTCCTGTAGCAGGAAATGCTCACTTATTGCCCCGGCATAAGAGCGGATATGAGCCTCAAGGATGTCATCTTTAAGGCCTCAGCATTCACAGTTCCACGTGGAAAGACTTGGAGGTCTGTGAGTCCTGCCCAGAGAGATACCACCCATACACAGACACTGCCTCCTCTGTATGCAAATCTTTCATGGATGTTTGATGGATGATAACGGTTCCATGTTCTCTCAAAATCAAATAACGCCTACTATCGCGTTGGAGTCTAAACCTGGACATTCGTAAAGAGGACAGTTTTCCAATGATCAACCATCCGGTAGATATGTTCACGTGCCCACCTCAAACGTTCCCTTCTATGACATGACGTGAACGGCACGCAAATGGCTTGTCGCTTCGCATACAGATTCGTGAAGCCATCTTGATACAACAGTTCACGTTGACATCAACCTTCTGGCGGCTGCAGCAAGGGAGGATCTCGGTTGAGTCTGAGATGCGATTTTGTTCATTTGTGGACATAAGAATACATATCGATCATCGGCGCTTGTGGTAGCGGTTGGTCATTCTTGGCTGAACCTTTTGGTTGCCGAATCTGTGGTTGGATATTGTTGCCAAAGTCTGTGAACCACAGAAAGGCTCATATTTAGCATCTGGCCACGCACAGCTGCCTTCTGTGAATGTCACACGAGTTTTTTTCTGCTCAATAAATCTAAAGGCTAACTGCAGACTTCTGTCGCTTTTTCACTGAGACGATTTTTCGCCCGCGATTTGCATTGCTTTTTTTGACTTCCGTCACCAGCGTAATCGTGTGGACGTACTTAAATGCTGTCCAACACACTAAAGTCGATGCTGCATTACAAACCATACGCGAATTTCATCTTATACTGGGTCTAGAGCTAAGTTTGTTTTGTATTCTAGTTTAGTGATAAGTAAATAAATGAAGAGAAAATTGCATCTGCATATAAATAAAGAGAACATAAAGAGGAACAGGGAAATAAAATTATTTCTTAATATCATATTGCAACTGAAAACTACAATTCCTCCTTGAATGCAAATTTGAGGAAACCGGAAAGGAATTTCTTCTAGTGACTAGAAGGGCAACTCAAAAGGCAATGACCTTAGACTTTAAACTACAAAGTCATCTGATCTGAAAAGAAATTATCGATATACCCTCTATATCAATGCACTATTTCAGGACCATCTTGAAGAACAACGAGAACAAAATACTTTTGACGAGTTTCTTAAACTGAGACCTCTCAAAATTCAAATAGTTATTCGAAAGGATCAAGAACAGCTGAGTCTTGGAAACGAATCCAGTGAAAAACTCATATTAAATTGAACTGAAAAATTGTGAGACTTTGCACATGCAAAATCTATGTAAATACGATAAGATAGAATAGATAAAAACTTGAAATAATTTCGAACAGATTCAAAGCATTTCCATTTCAAGTCCCATGGTTGGGACTCCAATAAGCATTTTCACCTTTAGTGTGATTCTTTTTTTTTTTTTTTTTTTTTTTTTTTTTTTTTAAGATATTTCTTAAATTTGGGCCAGTCTCGCGAAAGGATTAAAATTATTCGAGAATGAACAATTTGCATAACGACGGACATCCATAAGCGATTATGTTCGCAATGCGAAGCATAGTTGCCCCATATTAAGCTTTCTAATGGAATGTTCTTCTCTCTTGTCCGATAATCAAGCATTTTGTGTTTTAATGTTGTGCGGTTTTTTTTTTCTATCAAAAACAAAATTTCGTACATCCTTATTAGGTCAGTTTCCTATTTAAGTATTTTCAACTGCATTCTCTCAAAATATTATCCATGATAATATACATTTTAATTTTTTCAGGATTTATATAGTTGCTACGCTGTACCCTCCTTTAAGATATTTGATAATACATTTTACAGATCATCATACCTTTATCTAATTACTTCTTTCTTTAATAACACTTGCGACAACAAAGTTCGGACCAGTAAATTATTATACAGATGTGTATAATATTTTATTCTTTCAGTGTATATTAACTGAATAACATTATATTGTTACGAGTTCGTAATATACTGAAGGCACACAGGTCTGGATGTTAGGCTGATAAAATTTATTTTATCAAAAGAAACACTTCAGAGTTCTCGAACTTTCCACAAAAATAATTGCATAGATGTTCACAATATCACAGAGTATAATCAGTAGTTAAAATTCAAACTACTAAGAACGTTATACACAACGCAATGCAAAGCGTATCTAAAGGGGAAGCTAACCCCAGATATTTCAGGACTCCTAACTCATACTGAACTAACAACTCGCAATAAATGCTGAAGAATTGATGTTCTCTCTGTCCTTATATAGTTTTTACCCGGCCGCCGAGATATTTCTAGCATTTTCTGCTTCTCTAAATTACTGGAAGGCATATGAGAGCCTAATACTGTTGCAGTTACACCTGAATTCAATTACCGTTATTCAATTACAATGCTTATTACTGTGATACAGGGACCGGACTAAAATGTTGCCTAGCTGGGCGACTTTTGACGATTTCTCGTGAAACTGGGCGACAGAAGTTAGGTGCCGAAACCGTTTCCGGCTTGGCGATATCTCGCCAAATTAGCGAGATAACCATTTACTCAATGTTAGGCTTGTCCTTGTATTCTTATTTTTCCGGTAGAGATTCATTCCTCCCAGCTTTTCATGTTACATTATCAGAAAAATACAATTTCACATATAATTTTATTAAAATTATCTGCCCTTGTCGAAAATTCGTAACAATATTTAAGAACGTAGCATGCGTTGGATCATTCTAGGGAAAAAAAAAAAAAAAAAAAGGCTATCAGGCACCGAAGAAAGTTAAAGAATTCCTTTTTTATGGTTTATTGCTTATTCACAAGCATAATGAAGCATATTATCGCATAATGAAAATACAGAAATTGAAAAAAAATTTTAAATTAGAAATTCGGACTTACTTTGAGTTTCTGATCATCACAAGCATCGCAAGGCATATGTTTGCGTTCACTGTTACCTTTAGCCATTTCCGAAATTTTGGAATTGTTAGAAATGAATTTAAGATCTTTCCTAAATGTAGAAAAAAGTTAGTTATAGATCTGTTGTGAGTGGGATTTCGAATGCCATGGTTCTAAAAAAGAAACTGCATTTGAAAATTTTTGCATATTCATAAACATACGCTTAAAACTTTTAAAAGTTATAAGAGTATTGCGTTTAACATCAATTTGTGTTCATCAAACCAGAAAATTCTAATTTGCAGAGTATTTTATTTAGATGTTTTTGTCTTATTTAATTGTGTTTGTAGGGTTTATATTTATTTTAACTAACATTTATTTTAAGTTTAAACTATCTTTCCTGTCAAGCCTTACTTTCCCCTGGAACTGCCAATCCCCAGAGTATATAAATTTTAGTAGAACGCGCAAGGATTCAAATTATCAGCGGAAGTATTCTGAGTTAAATAGAAAGGAAACGAGTTCGAAGTGTGCTGTTCTTACTTCACGAGCGCGGAGGTAGTTAGCCAGAAATTGAAGAACTCCGCGTTTCGGCCTGTGTGCTTGCCTTGGAGAATTGTTAATCGTTCAACGTGATATTCAAAGTTTGCTGAATTAGCAGCGGTATTGTAAAACGCGGTGAGGTTAGTTACTTTTAGAGAGCCTCGTAGTTAGAGTCTTGTTATTAGTTTCTTTTCAGGTTCTTATTTTTATTTTACCGCCGAGTCGGCGTAGTTTGTGAGCGTCAAGAGCACGCAATTCTAACTTCTTAAGTTGAATAAAAAGGGACTTAAAACCTTAGCAAGACTCTGTCATTTTTCCAGTTTCAACAGTCACCTCTTGGTTGCGTGCAAGTTGGAGGCGCGCAACTCTACATTGGCGCCCGAACACTTATCGAACTAAAATGGCCGAAAATCGGATGGAAGCCGCTGGACAACACCAAGAAATGGCAAGCCAATTGGAAGGATTTGGATACCTGTTCCAGACTTTGAGAGCGTCAATCAAGCCAAACGTCAATTTCGACGGAAAAAATTCGGTGGCGATATTTCTAGAAGGCCTAGAAAATCACTTTCAGCTCTACCCTGTGCCTGAAAGACAAAACGTTGCCATCGCCACATCTGCACTAAAAGGACAGGCCGCGCTATGGTGGAAGAATATAGGCAAATTTTTATTAGGGAAATTTGGGAAGCCAGACATATACATTTGAAAATTTCAAAAAATCGTTAGTAAAGGCCTTCCCCATAGTGAAAGATCGAGCAAGGCTGGAAGCCGAACTATATAGTTTCTATCAACGTGATATAGAAGAGTTGACGGACTTTATTTACGAAAAATTAAGCTGACGGATACGCTGTATGGAAAGAAAGCCGACGCGGAGATTATTGAAATAATCTTAGCAAGATTGTTACCCGCTGTTACAAGACTACTTCGAAATTAGAAACCCAAGCACATTGCAGGAGCTCTTCGAATTGGCGGTGAAGTTTCAAAATCGCAGAATAGCGGAAAAAATAGAGGGGCAACGTATTCTCAAAGTACCCGAAGGAAATCTTCAAATGAGGAAACCAGAAATGGAAATCGCTCTTATGGGGGAAAGAGCTATCAAGCTAACTCATCGAACCTCGAAGGTCAAGGCCCAAAAAGAAAATTCGAAAATAAACATCCGCGTACCTAGAAGGCACAAATTGAAAGGAAAGCTTTAAACGAGTAGAGGGGCCTGTGAAAGGGAGGGTCCAGACCCCGGAAGTTTTAAAAAAAACCCTCAAAAAGACATTTAAATACGGTCATCGTAAAAAACTCACATCTACCAATTATACAAGTCCTGGTTGGCGATGTACCAGTAGAAGCCCTCATCGATACAGGAGCAGAAGGAAATTTTATGAGCGAAACATTCTTCAAAAAGAATTTTTATAGGGTACGATTATTTAAAACCAAAAATACGGAAATTATAGCTGCGCAAGGAAAAACCTGTCACTGCATCGGGAAATTATCATTAAACATACAGGTAAAAGAGGAAAGCCTCAAAGTATTAATTTTTGTAGTGAAGAATCTGCAAAATACTCTTATTTTAGGTATGGAGTTTTTAAGGGCCGCGAGGGCCAAGCTGAATTTTCAAGACAGTTCCGTGGTGCTGGAGATGGATCAGAGGGTGGTGGAACCTGTAGAGTAACCGCAAGTGGACCTTAGCCATCTGAATGACCATGAAAGTCAAGCCATCCAGCAAGTGGTGAGTAATTTTTCTAACTTGTTTTCAGAAAAGCCTGGTAGTTGCCAAATAGTTACGCATCAGATACAATTAAATGCCGAAAAACCTTGTAGGACTAAACCTTACCGCTATGACAAACAAAAAGACGTAATCATCGAAGAACATATTCAGGAGATGTTAAAGAATAAAATAATAACGCCCATAAATAGTGAGTACGCGAGTCCAGTCGAGTAGTAAAGTAAAAAGAACCAGTAGGAAAAGAGTCCAGTAGGAAAAAGAACGAGTTTCCTCCTTCGGATAAAAGGGCTTGGAGGTTTGCTATCGATTACAGAAAAGTAAATAGTATTACTAAATTCCCAGTTTACCCTTTCCCGGTTATAGAGGAAATTATTAGACAGATCAAATCGACAAGATACATGTCTACTTTGGACTTAACGTCTGGCTACTATCAAATAGCTATGAGACCCGAAGACATACATAAAACCGCGTTTATAACAAAATCGGGCACTTATGCATTTTTACGCATGCCCTTTGGGTTGTGTGGGGCCCCATCAACATTCCAGAGAGCTATGGACATTGTTCTAAAGCCTGTCCTAGGAAAATCAACTTTAATTTATCTAGATGATATAATTATAACGAGTAGTACGTTGGAACAACACATTAATGATCTAGAAGTTTTTAAATTATTAAAAGAGGCCGGTCTTACAATTAACGCCTCAAAATGCAAGTTCGCAACTAAAGAACTTAAATATCTCGGTTATAAAATTTCGCAAAAGGGTATAGAAACACAAGATTCAAAATTAAAGCCATCAAGAATTTCCCACCGCCCAACACCGCCAAGAAACTTTCTTCTTTCCTTGGGCTATGTTCTTACTATCGGTCTTTCATAAAAGATTTCGCTAATATTGTTGAACTACTCTTAGTAATCAAAAGAAAGAGAGGTAAATTTACGTGGACAGCGGAAGCAAATACAGCATTTGAAAGATTAAAAGAAGCGCTCATCAATGCCCCTGTTTTAAAATTCCCGGAGGGAGACGAAAACCTGGAAATTGCAGCAGATGCGTCAGACTATGCGGTGGGGGCGGTTCTTATGCAAAATAGCCATCCTCTGGCATTTTTTAGTAAAACGTTGAATCAGACACAAAGGAATTATACAGCTACAGAGAGAGAAACATTAGCCGTATTAATGGCTGTACACAAATTTCGAGTTTATTTCGGCAAAGCGCCAGTAACAGTCTTTTCGGATCATGCGGCTATTGGTAGACTTTACTCGGGGAAAAACCTAACGCCTAGGTTAATAAGATGGGCTTTAAAACTCCAAGAATATAATCTCAGAATAAAATATAAACCGGGTAAGGAAAACAATGTAGCTGACGCACTTTCTCGTATAAAAGTGGACGATGAAGGAAATGAACTTAAATGCGCTGTGTTGATTTTTGATTGAATCTAAAATTTTGAAAATTTTAGATTCTAGAGATACGATTATCACTGAACTGAAAGCTGATCCTGAATTTGGAAATATCTATGCATATTTGAAAGACCCCGAAAGCTTTGAGCACACAGATATCGATGCGATAAGAAATAGAGCAGAAAACTATGAAATAATAGATAATTTATTATTTTATACGAAAACAACAAACGAAAATCTTGAGTACAAACCAGTCATCCCAGCCTCGCTTCGATTAAGCATTTTGAAGGAATTACACGACGCGAAAACAGCGGGTCATTTAGGAGTCAGAAAGACTTTAAAAAGGGTAGTACGCGAGGCGGTATATTTCCCGCAATTATACAAAATAGTAACTGCGTATGTCAGGTCCTGCAATCAATGTCAGTTAATAAATGATATTAATTACAGCCCGGCCGGGTACTTAAATAGCATTCGCGCTACATTTCCGAATGAAATTTTAGGCATAGATCTTCTTGGTCCCTTCCCCCAGAGCGAGTTAAATAAAAATCGTTTTCTTTTAGTAATAGTAGATCATTTTTCAAAATGGACAGAAATTGTTCCACTTAAACGCGCGTCAGCCAAAACAGTCGCAGATGCATTCTTACACAGATACATTTTAAAATACGGTGCACCGATAAAAGTCATTAGCGATATCGGAAAACAATTCATTAGTCAAATATTTGAAAACATATGCAGTGGACTTGGCATACGCCATATCAAAATGGGTCCGTATAGCCCACAGGCAAACATAGCAGAAAGAGTGAATAAAAATATAGTAAAAATAATTCGCAGTTACGTTAGCACTCATCACAAGCGCTGGGATTGCTACATAAATGAATTAGCTTATGCTTTAAGAACGGCAAATCACGATACTACGGGAAAAATCCCAGCAGAATTATTTTTAGGCCGAAAGTTAATTACGCCTTTAGGCAAATTATTCTTTGTGCAACAAAGAGAGCAAAAGTTTAAACAGAAAGATGTGCAAAAACTTATTGATCAGGCGCTTAAAAGCTCGGATACGGCAAGAAATAAGCAAAAAGTGTATTATGATAGAAAACGCCGTGAAGCAGATTTCAAAGTTGGGGATAAAGTATTGAAGCGGAAATTTTCTTTATCAAGTGCCCCAGACAATTTTACGGCAAAATTAGCTCCAAAATTTGAAGGCCCCTATGTAATTCAGGAAATCAAAGGAGTCGTATTGTACCTTAAGAACGAGAGAGGGGAAATCTGTAAAGCAAGTCCCGACCAGGTGAAAAAATACTATAATCCAAATGATTTTGAAATCCTTAAATGTTTCTTGCAGGACTCAAGCCTAAACGAAGTAGAAGGCCCAGAAATAACAACTGTTCCACCACCCAAGAAGCAGAGAACTGAAAAGAGACCTAGCCCTTCTACAACCCGGACGACGGTACCAAAATGAAAAAAATGAAAA